ATATTGCATTTTCAATAAAAACTGCATAAGAAAAATATTGAATAAATGTGGATATTTACATAAAATTATATTATAAACACACTATCCTAAACATACAGCACCATATTTTAACCCATCTTCACCCTTGCGAATGAGACTTCTCTGCTTTCTCGAGTTGGTTCAACACCAAAAAATAAATAAACTTGATCTGAGCTTCGGCGTGCGGTAACTTCGCGGTTTTGTGTTTGAAGTTCATCTTTTTGTGCAACCAGGCGAGAACCCACGAGGCCATGATGATCTCATTCGCGTGTGCGGTATGTCTTTTGGACTTGTTTAGCGCCGTACGTAGCCAACCCTTGCTTACGGGAGGTGTATGATCGCGTGGTGGGCACTGATGCAGTACCGGATGATCCTCGTAGCAAAAGTAGCTACATATTAGCTACTACATATCTAGTAGCTACATATTATGTAGTAGTAGCTACTACTACATATTTAGTAGCTACGGGCCCCGCACTTTCAAGGGCCCCGTGCTAAATTCTTTCAAGCTATCAATTCCGGTTCAGTGATTCTGCACTTGCTCTATTACTATAGTACTATACCGCCTTCAAATTGTATAAACGACTCGGTGTTTAAGGTTAGCGATTTGTCGTAATTATCTGGCTGTATAACAAATGAAAAAAAACAATAACTTTGCAAGTTAAACATTTGCGTTTTAATATTTGTGGGGTTTTTATTATTATTTAGGGCCCCTTTAAAACATATGCTACAGGCCCCGCATTATCTTAATCCGGCACTGCAATGGTGATGTAATGGCATCCAAATGAGGAAACGTACCTCAGGAGGAGATGAAGCAGCGACATCGGCTCACGCAGAAGAGTCGTCGACCGCGCTCATCGGAGGAGGTGCGGGGAAGGACAGAAAGCTGAGCGTGACCTGGGGGCATTTGGTCTGCCAGTAGGAGGGGCGATGGTTTTAGCTTAGTTTAACACTTAGGCTCAAGAGCGCAGGAGCTTATGTCACCACATCTTCGCCTCTATATAAAGAACGGAACAGATGGACTTCTCCACAAATCTGACTGTCCGCCTGATGAAGCTAGTTGTAATTACTGGCGAAACGTCGTACTCAGATTGTAAATGTTGTGGCTTGTACTAGTATACTACACTATATACTACACTACTATACACTACACTATACACTATTATACACAATACACTACACTATACACTACTATACACTACACTATACACTACACCGGTGTGCTGTACGAGTGACGAATTGGCCACGTTCTGGTTACGTGACAGCCCTTACTAGTTAGCTGTGTCGGGTGGTGGCGGGTTTTAACGACACATTTATATATTTACGCGATCTAACCCAAAAACCCCCCTCTACTATGGGTTATAGCTTACAAAGTTTTTTTTATGTTTAAAAATCTTATTTGAAATGTAACATCACCCACACTTGGGGGGTGGGGCTTTCAAAACATCCGACAATCCCTGTCGACCCACGGCGCGATGTCATTTTCGAATTTCCCATTTTTCTTTGGCGGCCCCCACGCCAACGGCCTTTGCTTTTGGCGAATGACGTCGGCGGAATGTTTCGCCGTTCACCGTGGAGCAGATTCCGCAGAGCAGCGTCACGGTGATTGCACAGAGCGCAGTGTTCAATCCCGGGGGGAGGGGGATTGGTCGCACTGGAATAGACCCACGAACCTTTGCAGCAACGAGCGGTGAGCGCGCTTCCACTCGGTTGAATCACAGCCAAATCCATCCAGCGCGTTGCTACGCCTCCCTTATTTCGGTACAAGGAGAACGATTTCCCCCTCCTCGTGTAGCCTCGAACTCACAGCGCTCCCCAAACGTGTTGGTACCAGGGACCGGTTTCTTGGAAGACAATTTTTTCACGGACCGGAGGTGGTGGGGGGGGGGGGGGTCATCATTGGGTCTTTTTCCTTTTTCAAAGAAGCTTTCCAGCGATGTTTGTTTTTGACTCATCGTGGCTAGGGGTTAGCAGCTTGTGGGCGAACCAAAACACGTGCGCAGTGCGGGAACGAGGAGCGGACAGAAGTGGTAAATAATAAAACAATGGGGGCGGGCCACGCGCGGACTCACCGCTCTCACCTCCTGCTGCTGTGTGTCGCCCGGTTCCTAACAGGACACGGACCGGTACCGGTCCGCGGCCCGGGGGTTGGGGACCCCTGTTCGTACAGACTCCATAGTAGAGATTTATTCGGGCGAGATGGCGTCAATCTAAATGTGTCGTTAAAACCGCCACCACCCGACACAGCCAATGAGTGAGTTCTAGATTTGAAGCTTTCGTGACTGCAAGGATTCATACTCCTTCTTGGTTCTTTCGGTAAAGTCACGTAGAAGGGAAGTAATAAAATAATAAAAATAAAACGTAATCAAATAATAATATAATAGATTCATACTCTTAGTTTTTTCGGTAAAGTCACGTAGGTAAAAAATGAAATAAAAATTTAATTTTATTATTTTATTTTATTAATTTTAATTTCATTTTTTTCCTACGTGACTTTACCGAAAAAACTAAGAGTACCAATGAGTGAGGTTTGTCACGTAAACTAAACGTGCCAATTCGTTACTAGTACAGCACACACCCGCGTGTTGAAGAGTAAAACCCACGACATTTGCAATTCGAGTACGACGTTTCGCCAGTAATTACAACGAGCATCATCAGGCGACAGCCAGATTTGTGTAGAAATCCTCCTGTTTGATGATGCTAGTTGTAATTACCATCAATGAAGGCCGGTACGGCCACCTCGCCCGACGTGGCGATGTTTACACACTGCACCAGGTACTCATTCGAGGCTGAGTCGACCTAGGGGAGTACCAGGAACGGTTCAGATGTGGCGAAATATTATCTCCCTCGTCTGGTTTGCAAGAGGTCGTGGGTTCGATGCCGACGCTAACGCCTGCTGTGTATTTGGATTTTGCATGTCTTTGTCTCTCCCCGTGGTCGCGTGGATTTTCCCTCCGATTATCCCCTCCACATTTAGAACCAACATCACGCGTTTGGATTATTTGACTGAAATTTCCACGTGATAAGCCACTTGTTTCAGCTATCATTTGTGGCCAGGTCGCTTCTGAAAAAGAGCTGCATATATTCTAGACTTGAAGCTTTCGTGACTGCAAGGATTCATATTCTTAGGTTTTTTCGGTAAAGTCACGTAGGTAAAACATTAAAATTAATGAAAGTAAAAGAAATTATTTTATTTTACTTTCATTAATTTTAATGTTTTAATGAAAGTAAAATAAATTATTTTATTTTACTTTCATTAATTTTAATGTTTTACCTACGTGACTTTACCGAAACAACCTAAGAATAAGAGCTGCATAGCTCAGCGAGCTTGGCCTGGTAAATAAAATAGATATTCGTCGCCGCTATTGGGCGTGAGCGGGGAATTTTAAGTGCTGAGTCGACCTAGGGGACGCCACTGTTATCGGTCGCGAGTGGCAGCTGAACTCGTGTCGATGGATTCGTAGCGCAGTGCGCGGTATAACCACGAACATGCACACATACTTGATGCAGCAGTCGTACTGTGATGGTTCCACCTGAAGACGGAAGCTTGTGTTGCCTCCGAAACGTCGTGATTTTTATTTTATTTTTTATTTTACTTTTATTCATTTTATTTTTTTTCCTACGTGACTTTACCGAAAAAACCTAAGAATATACACACACGTGTGTATGTGTGTGTTTCAATACCCGTCAACATATGAAGTATTAATTTACGTGGGTTTCAGTTCAGTTTGGCTTCATGAAAGATGCGCGTATTGGTGCGTTTGTGTAATGTGTGCAGTGGGGATCGGTGGCACAGTGGTTAGCGCGCACTGCGCTACGAAAACCCGGCGACCCGAGTGCAGCTGCCACTCGCGACCGATAACATTGGCGGTGAATATATGAACAGGTCCCGGGCGCCCCCTAGGTCGACTCAGCACTTAAATTAGCATCTGGTGCAGTGTGTAAACATTAGCGCTGGTCGTGCACCGCGCCGGCCGTCAAAGGTGCTACTCGTTAACAGCACTTGCCCCAAAAGTCTGTTAAGGCTATACGGGGGTGCGGGATATTTTGTCTTTTGACAGACGGTATGATATTTGTGTCCTGCTGCAGAGTGTGTATCAGTGGGTGCGTGTGTACGTTTACAAGCCTTTGTCTCACTCCACTGCTGGATGAAGGCTTCTCTCGCCGGTGCCTAACTTTTCAATACGTTGCACTCCTATCTGTTTTGTATTGCTTGTTGTACCTCTCTGACCCGGACCCTCGTGTTTAAAACATCCCCGTAACTCATCGGAGTCTCCCGGTCCAAAGATGCCGTTAAAGTATCTCACGTCATATTCTTAGGTTTGTTCGGTAAAGTCACGTAGGTAAAAAAAATAATTTAATAAAAGTAAAATAAAAATAAAATACTTTTATTAATTTTCATTTTATTTTTTACCTACGTGACTTTACCGAAACAACCTAAGAATATGAATCCTTGCAGTCACGAAAGCTTCAAATCTAGAATCTCACATCATGATCGCACGCCCGGTAATCCAGCGCTGTGTAGGCAGCAGTTGGAGGATCGTCGCACACCGATGGGTCGTAAAGCTCCCTTCTACTACTCGTGGGACCCAACTGCAGGGATGGATTAAGAGTTTAAAGGCCCCTGGGCTACAAGGTACTGTGAGGCCCCCCCCCCCCCCCCCCCCCCCCAGTAATATTTTCAAAAGGAAAAGAAAGTTAAAGAAAAAAAATGTATTTTTACGAGGCTAACAACAAGTAAAATTCAGCATTCACAAATTAAACAACTTTTCACTTAAATTTCGATTTAAAGCTTTCGTGACTGCGGGGATTCATATTCTTGGTTATTTCGGTAAAGTCGCGTTAAAAAGAAAACCGCCACTTTTTCTAATTTTCTTGCTGTGGTTTTCACACCTGATGATGATTGCTTGTGTTGCAATCGAAATGTCGTGAGAATTGTATTGTTTTATTTTGATAATTTTATAGATTTTTCCCTTCCTCGTGACTTTACCGAAAGAACCAGGAACTTTTCACTTCATCTCTGGAAGCCCCTCCATCTGGAGGAGGCCCCTGGGCTTGCAGCCCCTAAAGCCCCCACGCCTTAATCCGGCCCTGGCCGTCAAGGCTCGCCAGAAGGCAGCGGTTACAGCAAGTAGACCAACCTCATCTATTTTCATCTATACGGGGATCGAGTGTTGCGTCCTCGCGCAAGGCGTTGGGTTTCTAGGGCTGCTGTAGTTTGCTCCCCACGTGGCATGATAAACAACTCGTTAATTGGCTGAATTTTTTTATTTATAAAATAACCCAATGCAGTGGCAGGATCCTCCTGGCAAAGAGTGCTACGACTGAGTGTGGCCCTCATGGATAGATCAGTCGACTGTGACCGGTAATGCGTGAACACAAGCTGCAATCGATCGCCATGCGCGCGCTGTCAAAGTCTCTTTAATGTTGCTGCACGCCAGTTACACACGTGTCTGCGCGCAGCAGCTCCAAAAAAACATAAATATTAAATAGAAATCGTGAAAAATATATTATATATAAATAAAGTCGAGATCATGGAAAGAAAATGCGGCGATACCTACAAAGTTCAATAAATAATCATGGACGATGCCTGTTGGACATCTGTAAAAAAAGCCTCGTGGCTCGTGGGGTTCCTCATCGGATTCCTCCAGGATAAAAACAGATCCTGATCCTGATTCTCTTTATAAAAAGTAGGAATGCTTCGGTTTAACCGCCCCACCCCCCGCCAACCATCGTACAGAACGTATGGTCATTTGTCTCTTAGCATCGCATGCACGACTCTTACAACATAAATACCCAGCTCACCATCAATATATGGCTCATGTAGATGCAGAACAACAATAACTGCAATGTCACAGTCAGGTGGTCACGCCAGACAACCGCGTCAGGAGCAGCAGAGTGTATCGACGACGTATAACGCATCATAATCATTTTGCGTATATAAATAACAGCACCCGTAGAAATACAATCACCAACAATATCTCCACCGTTTGAGAGGCAAACGCAGACTAGGCGGCTCTGTGTGATGATGATGATGATGTTGACGATGTGTACTGCCACTGTTGCTACTGCTGCTGATGATGATGATATTGATGATCATACTCCTGCTTCTGATGATTGACCTTGATGATCGTTCTGCCATTGCTGATTATGATCGATGCTGGTGATCCAGATATATGATACTGCTATTGCTGATTATGGTTTGTGACGATGCTGCTACAGGTGATGATGCTTATTTGATGATGATGATGATGATGAGCAAAAGGTCACGTGAGATCTGAGCCACCCTGCACATCGACTCAAGAGTTGACCATCACAACGCCGTTCACACGGCAGAACCCGTAACAAACATACAATAGGCGCCCAGCACAACACGTAAACCTCTCACTGTGGCTCCGAATGAACAGAATTCGTTTTTATATTCAGTGAGAAATGATGACCACCCGTGGCCAACTCAGCTGCGCACGAACTGCTCTGCCCAAAACGTCGCCTACGATATTACTACTCGTGCTTTTGTTAAGGCCGCAGATTTTTTTCGGGGGTAAGGCGGTTTTACGCTTATATTTCTAAACGTCTCTTGCGACGAGTTCCGCGAGCGGCTGCGCAAACCGTCGCCTAGAAATCCCGCGCCGCGCCTAACGCCGTCGCCCCGCGGTCACCCGCCTGGGCGCGGCGTCCGAGCAATTGTGGGCCACCGAGGCACCGCGCAGCTCCATGTGGCCCCTCGACAGCCAACTCCTCAGCTGGTTGATCACTTGCAGTCCACGCAACTTCTTGCCGAAATCCCCGACCATCTCGTGAAACGTGTCGGAGGGGCGCGCGGCCGCCGCGTCGGCGGCGGCGCAGCTGCAGGCCCCGTCGCCGCCGCCTGTCCTCGCGGTGGCCGTGGGGGGCCTCCTCGGAGCGCCACTCCTCCAGCTGGTCGCTGACCACGCGCAGTAGGTTCACGTGGTGGACGAGGTCGCGCTTGAACGTTTGCAGGTCGCTCCGGACCGCCTCAGAGCCGCTTGAGCCGCGTTGGTCTTCGACGAGGACGTCCAGGAGATGCAGGAAGGCAGCCAAGGTGCGGTAGAGGCAGCAAATCTGGTCGCGTGGCCTCGGGCCCATGTGCGTCCCCGCCACCTTGATGATGTTTGGCAGTGGAACTCCCGGCAGGGTCATGACGGGTATGTTGAGGTTCGGGTATTGGTGTAAGAGGCCCTGAGCTGCTTTCTGTGTATTGCAGAGAGAGAGAGAGGGCCAACAGTTAGATAATGAATAATGGTGGCGGTGATGATGGTGGCGGTGATGGAGAGTAGCAACAGCAGCGGCGGCAGCGTAATCAAACAACGAGGCAGCCATCGTCACGAGCAGCATTAGTCTTTCTCATCAGCAGTACTGACGGCAGCATCGTCGTCATGACTATCGTCGTCATCTTGATAAGCGTCATCACCACCACCACCACCACCACGGTTAGCATCAAATTAGCATCATCGTCGCCACCACTCCCATCCTCTTCGCCGAGACTTACGTAAGTTTCCAGGGATTTGTTGAGTCGGACCTGCAGCGCAGAGGTGAAGCAGCTGAGGAGATTGAGGTTATCGCACACTCTTGTCACGTGGTGGTGGCGGTGAAAGTGGCGGGGCGGGCGGCACCAGCAGCTCGACGAGAGGAGGAGCAGGAGGAGAGTGGACACTGGAGGGGCACAACAGGGAGGAGGGGTGGGAGGGACAGAGGTGGGAGGGTCGATATCAGGGCTTTACATACAGTCACCCGCTAACCCACTCACCTACCCACTAACTCACCCACTAGCCCACTCATCTACCCACGAACTCACCCACTCATCTACCCACGAACTCACCCACTCATCTATCCACGAACTCACCCACTCATCTACCCACGAACTCACCCACTCATCTACCCACGAACTCACCCACTAGCCCACTCATCTACCCACTAACACTCATATACCCACAAGCCCACTCATCTACCCACTAACTCACCCACTCATCTACCCACGAACTCACCCACTCATCTACCCACGAACTCACCCACTCATCTACCCACTAACTCACCCACTCATCTACCCACGAACTCACCCACTCATCTACCCACGAACTCACCCACTCATCTACCCACGAACTCACCTACTAGCCCACTCACCTACCCACTACTCACCCACTAGCCCACTCATCTACCCACGAACTCACCCACTCATCTACCCACGAACTCACCCACTCATCTACCCACGAACTCACCTACTAGCCCACTCATCTACCCACTAACTCACCCACTAGCCCACTCATCTACCCACGAACTCACCCACGCATCTACCCACTAACTCACCCACTCATCTACCCACTAACTCACCCACTAGCCCACTCATCTACCCACGAACTCACCCACTCACCTACCCACTAACTCACCCACTAGCCCACTCATCTACCCACTAACTCACCCACTCATCTACCCACTAACTCACCCACTCATCTACCCACTAACTCACCCATGCATCTACCCACTAACTCACCTACTAGCCCACTCATCTACCCACGAACTCACCCACTCACCTACCCACGAACTCACCCACTAGCCCACTCACCTACCCACTAACTCACCCACTCACCTACCCACGAACTCACCCACTAGCCCACTCACCTACCCACTAACTCACCCACTCACCTACCCACGAACTCACCCACTAGCCCACTCACCTACCCACTAACTCACCCACTCACCTACCCACTAACTCACCCACTAGCCCACTCACCTACCCACGAACTCACCCACTCATCTACCCACTAACTCACCCACTCATCTACCCACTAACTCACCCACTAGCCCACTCACCTACCCACGAATTCACCCACTCATCTACCCACTAACTCACCTGCTAACCCACTCATCTACCCACGAACTCACCCACTAGCCCACTCACCTACCCACTAACTCACCCACTCACCTACCCACGAACTCACCCACTAGCCCACTCACCTACCCACTAACTCACCCACTCACCTACCCACGAACTCACCCACTAGCCCACTCACCTACCCACTAACTCACCCACTCACCTACCCACTAACTCACCCACTAGCCCACTCACCTACCCACGAACTCACCCACTCATCTACCCACTAACTCACCCACTCATCTACCCACTAACTCACCCACTAGCCCACTCACCTACCCACTAACTCACCCACTCATCTACCCACTAACTCACCCACTAGCCCACTCACCTACCCACTAACTCACCCACTAGCCCACTCATCTACCCACTAACTCACCCACTCACCTACCCACTAACTCACCCACTAGCCCACTAATCTACCCACTAACTCACCCACTCATCTACCCACTAACTCACCCACTAGCCCACTCACCTACCCACGAACTCACCCACTCATCTACCCCCTAACTCACCCACTCATCTACCCACTAACTCACCCACTAGCCCACTCATCTACCCACTAACTCACCCACTCACCTACCCACTAACTCACCCACTAGCCCACTCACCTACCCACGAACTCACCCACTCATCTACCCACTAACTCACCCACTCATCTACCCACTAACTCATACACTAGCCCACTCATCTACCCACTAACTCACCCACTCACCCACTCACCTACCCACTAACTCATACACTATCCCAATCATCTACCCACTAAGTCACCCACTCATCTACCCACTAACTCACCCACTAGCCCACTCACCTACCCACTAACTCACCCACTAGCCCACTCATCTACCCACTAACTCACCCACTCACCTACCTACTAACTCATACACTAACCCACTCATCTACCCACTAACTCACCCACTCATCTACCCACTAACTCATACACTAGCCCACTCATCTACCCACTAACTCACCCACTCACCCACTCACCTACCCACTAACTCATACACTATCCCAATCATCTACCCACTAAGTCACCCACTCATCTACCCACTAACTCACCCACTAGCCCACTCACCTACCCACTAACTCACCCACTAGCCCACTCATCTACCCACTAACTCACCCACTCACCTACCTACTAACTCATACACTATCCCAATCATCTACCCACTAACTCACCCAATCATCTACCCACGAACTCCCCCACTAGCCCACTCATCTACCCACTAACTCACCCACTCATCTACCCACTAACTCACCCACTCACCTACCCACTAACTCATACACTATCCCAATCACCTACCCACTAACTCATACACTATCCCACTCATCTACCCACGTCCCACCATTGTGTCCATCAGCCCAATAATGATCACTCAGTCAAGCACTCAACCACTCACTAGGTCACACATTCACCCAGCCTCATACCCACTAACCGACTCGTTCTACCCCGCGTTAATTTACTCACCACTCACTCACTAACCCTCTCACTCAACTACTCGCCTGCGTACTCGATAACCTCTCATCATTTACTAAGTAACCCATCCGCTTGCCTCATTCATGCAACCACTTGTTTACCCACTCACTTGCTTACCCACTCACGTCCCCTCAGTTATCCACTCACTCCCTCACCCACCCATTCCACACTTCACCCATTTAAAACTAAAACTAAACGTTTTATTTTACCAAGTGAGGCCCACCGAGCAAGACAGCTCTTTTTCATGAGCGACCTGCTTGTCACAAACGACAGCTCAGCGAAGTGGCTTTCACGTGGAAATTTATATCAGCCGAATATTCGAAACGCCTGTTTCTAAACGGGGAGGGGAAAACCGGAGGATCCGAGGAAAATTCCACGTGACCACAGGGAGCGAGACACGCAAACTCCAAATATCCAGCAGGCGTCAGGGTCGGGATCGAACCCACGCCCTCATGAACTCACCCATCCATGGCACCCACAGTACAATGCAGAAGCAACCCCAGGAGAGTAAAACGTAGATTTCTCTCCACGTCCAAATCACGGACAAGAACCTCCACGCAGCTCGACGCGTTGGCCGCATTGGTCGCGTGGCGGCACCGCGGCGATCCAACGGCGGCGAAATTTGGCACGCAAAGGGGCAGAACACGCGGCCGGAGATTGCTAAGTTGGAAAAATTACCCGCGAATTCACTCGATGATGGACTATAAATATCCATCATCGCCACCGCCTACTGCGAAAAGTTGGCAGGACCCTCGTGAAAAAGTGTATCGAAACTTGGCGAGGCTTGCCTGGGTAACCACGCGTACATAATACACGGCGGTATTTATCCACCGGAGATTCAGCATCGAGGCACTGGCATTGCCTCCTGCTTACAGACAACGGTGGGAATTCCACATTCCTATGACCTGAGCGAGTCTCTCCTCAAGACATCCACTGCTTATTGAGTCAACCCCCCCCCCCACCCATAACCATGGTGTTAACTTGCAACATTCCAGTTGCGAGGAGGCGCTCGATCTCCAGCCCAGAGCCGCCGCCACCACCACCAGGCCCCATAACCGTAGAGTTTGTCTCACGTTCGAGCGCTTCATCAATGATCATGATGATGATGATGACGACGATGGTTGAAACTGAGGGGTATCCAGCTCCAACGAGTGGGATTTCCCCAACGAGCGGCGTCACGTGGCATCTCTCTCTCGCTCGCCTCCCATGATCATCATCATCATCATACAGCGCGCACGGCCACCAAAATCCCCTCCTCTGCTCACCGACCGCCTCACCCACCCCAGGCTCACCCACCCGCCCCTCCTCCCTGCTGCGTGTTTATGCGGATGTGATTGCCCAAGGCAAGACATTACAAATCGGCTGCCTCCTCCTGCATCACCACCACTATCACTATTTACCACCAAAGACAAAGAGCCCCCCGTATAGCCTTAACCGACTGTAGGGGCAAGTGCTGTTAGCGAGCACCTATGGAGGCCGGAACGGTACACGAGGGGGTAGGTGGCCAGCACCACGCCCGACCGCCTTTGTCTCCCCAGTGGCGATGTGTACACACCGCACCAGGTACTCATTCGAGGCTGAGTCGACCTAGGGGAGGCCCAGGGCCGGTTCAGATAATCGTCACCGGTGGTGGCCGTGAGCGGTAAATCGAACCCGGGTCGCTGGGTTCATAGCGCAGCGTAGCGCTAACCGCTACACCACCGCTCCCCATAATATTTACCACCGCACGCTCCATCAGCACCATCAACCCCAACAAAATCACCACCACCAACCCCAACAAAATCACCACCACCATCACGACAATCACCTATTACCCCACCAACCATCACCCCCCCCACTACCAACGCCATCACCCACGTGTGAGCCCACCATCGTAAACATCACCCCCATCACCGCCATCACCCAGCACGACAAGACGCACCGGAGATTTACGGGGAAGTGGCGAGTCCACGGCGGCGAGAGCAGTGGCGTAGCGGTCAGCGAGCCCCCAAAGTCTGTTAAGGCTTCACGGGGTATCTTTGTCTTTCGTTGTGTGTCTGTGCAAGACAATGTCTGTGTGTGTATGCGAGCCACCCTCGTGTAGAGAAGTCTCAATCGCTGCTCGCGAACAACGCGTAATCCCACGAAACTCAATAGCTCCCCACGTACACCATCACCACCACCACCATCACCGAAGAGGAAACGCCTGGCAGTGTGTACATGGAGAAGATCGGAAATGCAGTCGGTTTAAAATTCACATCTATAAACTTAGGACCCTGCCGATCTGCTTGACGTCCTATCTGTCCATCTGTATGTCCATCTGTCCGT